GGGAAATGCTGGGGGCCCGGGGAAATGCTGGGGGCCGTGGGCCCGGGGAAATGCTGGGGGCACTCGGAAATGCTGTGGGCACTGGGAGGTGCTGGGGGCCTTGGGCTTTGGGGGATGTGGGGCACTGGGCTCAGCTGGTGCTGTGGGTGCTCCAGCAGAGCTGCAGGGGGGTCCCCAGCCCAGCCCTTGCCCTCCCCATGGTGTCAGAGCTAGGGCCCGGGGAAATGCTGGGGGCACTCGGAAATGCTGTGGGCACTGGGAGGTGCTGGGGGCCTTGGGCTTTGGGGGATGTGGGGCACTGGGCTCAGCTGGTGCTGTGGGTGCTCCAGCAGAGCTGCAGGGGGGTCCCCAGCCCAGCCCTTGCCCTCCCCATGGTGTCAGAGCTAGGCTCCCCCTGCCTCAGTTTCCCCCCTGAGCCTTGTGATGAGGGGGCCCAGCCCTGGCCACCCAGTGGCTTCCTGTGATGGGGGTGCTGGTGGCAGGGACAGGACTGTGTGTCACCAAGGGATGTGTGGGAAGGGTGGTGACAGCCTGGGGAAATGCTGTGCCATGGCTCCCTCCTCACCCTGGGCCAGCCCCGCCATTGAGTGCTGGTGGGTGCTGGGCTTGGGAGCCCTGAGGGTCCTGGCGAGTCACGGGCAGGTGCCACGTGGAGCGGGACGCTTTTGGGACCTGAAGCTGAGGCACACTGTGCCCCTGCAGAGCCCCCATAGGGATCGTCTGGGGGCTGCCCCTGCCCAGGTGAGCCTGTGCCCCCCGGCACCCACGTCATACCCCTGCACGAGCCTGAGTCTGGCTGCGTTTGGGGGAGCCCCTTCCCCCGAGGGGCCTGGACGTGGCCCCGCAGCGGCCGTGCAGGAGGAGTACTGCAGGGAGCCCTGCTACTCTGCCCTGCTTCAAAACTGAGCCACAGCGTGGCAGAGGCACTTGCTTGGCAGCCCCCGGTGGGGTCTGAGCTTGCTCGCGGAGGGGGTTTCTCCTCCTCCAGGGCTTGGCTGTCGCCAGCTGCGTGAAAGAGGAAGCGCTGCCTCACGGTCAGAGCACAGAGCACCCGCAGCACCCCAGCGCTCTGCCACCCTGTGCTGTACCTCAGTTTCCCACCCTGGGGCTGGGGCAGTTGCCATCGACAAGGGCACCACGGCACCTGGCGCAGGGGTGGTGGGGTCCACAAAGGCACCCGCAGGTGCTGGGCATGGGCCACGCTGCATCTGGGAAGGGAAGTGAAAGTGAGTGTGAAAGTGGATGGGATGGGGGCAGGGCAGCCAAGAAGGACCCGGTGGGTGGGTGCAGGGTGCTTCTTGCTCCCCACAGTCCCTAGGGTGCTGAGAGCGGGTGCTGTGCCGTCCCCCCCCCACCGCAGACACGGATGCTGGCTTTCTACGTTGCAGGGAGATGTTATCTGGCCGCTGCGGCTGGGGGGTGGGGTTGGGCGGGTTGCAAAACCCCCAACG